AAAATGGACTCCCACGTACGAAGGACCATTTGTGATCAAGAATATATTTTCTGATGGAGCTATGATCTTAACCACTATGGACGGTGACAATATTTCGCACCCTGTAAACGCAGACATAGTTAAAAGATACTATGGATGAACAAGACCCACTAGGTTGACTGACCTAGGCAAAAATAAGGGCATCTCGGCGAACCAAAAGGGTTCGGGCAAAAGTTAGGGATATACATATGAAAAATCTGTACACCCGACAAGTCAAAAACAACAATACACCCATTTGTGAATTGAATTATACTAAAAATTCCCAAATTGGTTTATAGAATTCCCAAATTTTAAGTTGAATATCAGACCAAAAACAACAATACACCCATTTGTGAATTGAATTATACTAAAAATTGTATACATCAATGACACAATTCCATTAGAAAACAAAAATTTTATATTACATAAAACCAAAATGGCACAAAATAACATATAATGTACACATCATTACATCAAATAATAATATCTTGTTGTCTTGGTGTCTTATCTCTGGGTATTTTGACTTTAAACACTTATAATTTCAAATAATAATAGTTGTTAGAAAATAACACCATTAGAAATTATAACATACAATAAATTATGAATGAAGAATATAAAATACTTGTTAATTTTTCCATATGTCTTCTTGATGATCGTTATGAATAGTATACACATCATCTCTATCAACTTCTTCATAAGAAGTTGGCAACTGTGTTGTGTAAGAAAGAGCGAAAGGAATATCAAAACTTTCATCATCACTACGAGAAATGTGTTTTCCTTTGAGAACAATTGACCATCTCCTCGATAAGTCCACAAGGTCTGTCACATAATAAAATTATTTTGCTTGAGAAGCCATGATGAATGGTCCAATCTTACAAATTTCCTTGCCAAGGTCAATCCGTGTGAATCCTAACTCATCAGTTTATACACTGTTGTTATTGGGAACCCACTCGTATTTAAATAAAGACACTTATGAATACATTTGTCTCTCAAATAGAAGTTTTGCATGATGTCAAAACTAGGATAGATTTACATTTACTAATAAAATATTTAACAAGATGGTCATTAACAATAGTAAGAAAATATCTATAGCCAAGCATGGATGGGGTAGACATGGGACCGCAGATGTCCATATGGACTAAATCAAAACATTTATTAAAGCAATTATTATTGTCATAGAAAGGAAGTCTCATATGTTTATCATACAAACAAGCATCACAAGGAATATAATTATTGTAAGAACAAGAAGTGTTTCTACAGCTGGCCTTAAGATTTTGATGATAACTTTACATGATATCATTAAGAATAATTATATACTCTAATGGTTTCGTTCTAGTGTGTAGCTGCTTCTATAATGTTCTAACTCTGGTACAAGGCGTGTGACATCATCAGGTTCTGAATATAAACACTTTGGAAGAAAACATCTGGTTACGTGTTATAATTGAAGTCAAGATTATGAATACGTCTTATGCAACATGTCTCAGAAACGTTAGTATAAAAGGTTCTGATCGTGACTTGATGGTTAAGATTTGGAGGCCTTCTGAAGCTTTGCTTTTGTGTGTTACAAGTTCTGAAGATTATGAAGACAAGGTTCTACTGAACAAGTTCTGATGATCTGAAGAAAAGCAAGTTCTTACAACCAAGTGCTGAAGACTCTAAAGACGAGGTTCTGATATGACAAGTTCTGAAGACTCCAAGACTTAGGTTCTAAGACTTAAGAGTGATTCTTCTACAACAAGCTTCAAGCATTTAAATTATCTGAAGCATATGAAGATAAGAAGAGGTTCAAAATGGTTAACGTGTGATGGTGTACAAAAGGTACATAAAGTGTATGTGACCTTTACTCTTCTAGAGTGGCGTAAGGATAATCCTTTTGTACTGTATTGTCAACCACTCTCATTGTGACCGTTAGGAACAAACAATTGGATTTATCATTACTTTCTTTTCCTAGCGGATCTCTATTTACAAGCTTAGTAGAAAAACATTATTTATAGAAAAGGTGGAAAGCTAGCATTGAAAAAGGACAGGCTATGGAAAATATTATTTTATATTGTCTAAACTCTTAAACCTTTTTCTATCCGTTGAGAACTAACCGTTGGTGCAGATAAATACTTTTCTATCCTTTCAACGTCTCTCTCTCAAGGCTATAAAAGAAGATCAAAGATTTGAAGAAAAGCTACCCTTGGCCAAATAGAGCTTTAACTTGTGAAAGAAAAGTAGTGGATGCTGAAGATGTTAAAGCTGCAATGATACACAATATGAAGACCACTACACACAAAGAGAGAAAAGAAATAAGAAGAGAAAGAAGATTTCAACAAGATGTTATTCAACTATTCATCATATACATCTTGGATGAGACTTGAAGAAGCAAGGCATTGTTACTAGTAGCTTGCTCAATGAATAAGAAGATTATACAAGATGCTAATCAACTATTATCATATACATCTTGGTAGAAATCAGAAGAAGTAAGGAGTTACTGCTCGGAACTTGCTCAACAAGAAGATGAAGAAGAAGAATACTACAAGATGCTACTCAACTTTTGATCATGTGCATCTTTTATATAACAATGTAATGTACATAAGAGCTACTGCTCGTATTGTGTTATAGTTTTGATCTCTTAATGTAAATTGTTTTAACACAATAGTTGTCGCTCAAAATTGTGTTAACATATATGCTTAATCATTTGTGTAATCTGCTTAGAAGAAGCAATAATGTAAACACAAAAAACTTATCAACTCTTGTTGATTGATTCCTTGAGTGACTTTGTGAAGGTCTGATCTCAAGAAGACAATGGCTGCAGTGTTTGTGGGAAATCCTAACATGATATCTTAAGTGATAAAATTCTATTGGGTCAATGATTGTTATTCCCGTTAAACTGGATCATTGAAAGGTTCCTTGAGTGACTTTGTAAAGGTCTGATCTCAAGAAGATAATGGTTGCGGTCATTATGGGAAATCCTGATAGGAGATCTTAAGTGATCAGATTCTATTGGGTCAATGATTGTTATATTTATTAAATCAGATCACTGAACATATCATTAAAAGGTTCTGAAATTCTGGTACGATAGATTCAGATGTCCTAAGAGGATATCGAGACATCTGGTCTGACAGAAATAACACAGGCAAGGTATAAACATTAACAACAATACTGAAAAGCAATAACAACATATATAATTTTTTACCCAGTTCGGTCGAACTACCTACTCTGGGGGCATACCAAGCCAGGGACAAATCCACTAATAGTAGTATCAATTCAAAGCTAAACTCCCTCCTTTACAACTTATCACTTAATCATTACCCTTGCTAAATTTCCATCTAAGACTCACCTAGATATGAGATCCTCCTCAATCCCTCATCAATCACAGGGTTATAAATAATATTATAAATAGAATGAAAAACAAAATTATTGATGAGGGTAATGTGGTTAGGGTTTAGGGGGGTGAATTAAAGATGTATAAGCCTCTGTGCAACTTAGGTGCACGAATAAGTGCACAAATCTTCATCAGGGTATGGTTGACTTGTATAATACATCTAAAAGCTTGGAAAATAAAATGGCATCCTAGAGAACTAGTAAGTCTAGGTACAAATATAATGTTGCTGATTAAATCAAGAATGAACAAAACATCATTCAGTTAAAAATAAAGGGGGAGGGGGACATAATTGTTCACGAGAAAGAAATGGAAATGGTTACACCATAAGTGAGCCTAATTTTAATGTGAATCTCAATTAAACGTGTAAACAAGGATACAGAGTGGCACACGTCATCCATTGCCCCAAAATCTAGAATCCAATGGGAGATACATTGATTTACTAAAGAGTTGAGAAAAAAAGAAGTACCTAATGGAATGTGGAAAGTAGAGTTAAGTTAAGTAACATTGCATTGTTGTGTAGTGGTAGCTTGCTGAAGAAGGGCTAAAATAGCTTTTTGTTGCTCCGGTGTAAATCTATATGCCTCATTATGTTGTGACACTTCATCAACACTTGATTATTAAGGAGGATCTAAATTAATATCTTCATTTGAGACTTGAGAAATTCTAGGTTTCTTCAAATATGGAGGAAACCAGTGATTTTTGAAACAAGCCTCAACTGTGTGACCCAATTTGTTATTGAAGGAGCAAATTTTGAAGCCTTTTCCACGCCTTTGAGTGAAGCCTTTTGACCAGTCTCACTGTTCCGTCCTTTGAAACCAAATTTGTTGAGGTGTGTGACCAAATTTTCTTAAGCTAAAGGTGTAAGATGCTGACACTCTTGTTGTATCAATAAGAGAATACCTTATTTACCAATGGTAATGGTTGCATATAAATAATTTGGGAATAAACTGGAGCATACTGCTCATTAAGACCTATAAGAAATCTGATGACATAATCACAATCATGATAGTCTTTAATGGTGGACGTGAGTTGACAAGTGTGAGCAATCGTACAAGTGCAAGAAGGGAGAGGATGAACTTATGGAATTCTTGCCACAAACGTTTGAGAGATGCGAAATCCCGGGAGCAAATGATAGGTAAGCATGTGTTACTTGGATAGAAGAAAAAATCAGTGCAAACAATATTTTTGATGGCATTGATGAGGGTTTGTTTTCAACAGAACTATCATAATGACTAAAGTAAAAGTAAGCTAAAGCGGAAAAAAAAGAAATGAAACAGAATATGATGAAACTCACATACACTGGTCATTGATCTGTGCCGTGAGTCATAACTCCAACTCATCATCACACTTATTTGCGTTTCTTTTTTTATTTGCAAAAGTCAACCTCACATATCTAATAAACCTAAATTCCTCTTACCTACGTATCCATTCATAGTTGTCTGTCCTCGATTCCAGAAACCAATTTATATAACCAACCATTCATGTTTCATCACATGGGTCTCTCAAATCTCTCATCTTTCACTCTTAAACCATCAAAAAGCCATGTTCTTAACAACCTCAGCATTCAAACTTGTTAACTTTATCACTCTCACAACCTTCTTTCTCAAAATCCATGGCACCCTTTAATTTATTCTTCCTATTACACCTTCTATTCATTCCAACAACTTACTATATCCAACCCTATGATGGCGGGTTCATCTCTGGTGTTATATCCAATAAGGGTATTGATTTTGCAAAGGATTTGTTGATAGAGAAAGGTATTGAATCCATTGTTCTTCTTAATCTACCAGAGATTGAGAATTCTGCACAAGTTCCACTTGTTGGAAAAGCTAAGGTTGTTCTTTCTCATATCACAATTAAGGATATTCAAGTCAACTCTTCGTCTGTTATGATTGGAGAGAGTGGGATTGTTGTAGTTGTTTCAGGTGCTACTGCTCATTTGAGTATGAAGTGGAACTATACTGTCAGCTCTTGGTTGATTCCAATTGGAATTTCTGATAGTGGAACTGCTTCAATTAAGGTATGAAATTGAAATTAGAGATAGATATGTATATTGTCAGAGCCGTCTTAAGTTTTAAGAGGCCCTGAACTCTGACAAAACAAATAGATGTCTTATTTAGCCAAATTGTAGGCTCTGAACGATAGTCTGCCTTACACGTCTTCAAAGACGGTCCTGTACGGTGGAAACTCTGACATGTACATTGATAAATTATACTTCGTGAAAATATTAGTGGTTGTATATCATTACAAGTGTAAGTATTAAACATACTTTCGATGTTCCAACGTATGAAGGTTTTAATGTATGTTGAGGTTAATATAAGATTACAAAAGGAAGAAGGAAGAATGTCTATACTTGTTTCTTGCTCTTTTGAAACAGACATATGTTGTTTAACCGATAGTATCTCCATTTATTTTTGCTGTGCCGTGTTTGGAAGGTTAAAGGAATGCAAGTCGGGCTTACATTAAGTTTAAAGAACAAAGAAGGTCGCCTTAAGTTGAGTCTCTTAGATCATGGATGCTATGTCGGAGATTTATCGATAAAGTTGGATGGTGGAGCAGCTTGGCTTTACCAATTGTAAGCAAATTTCGTAAGCCATGTTTTGATAAGTGATATTCTTCGCGCGTTCTTTCATAGAGAACTGTAATACAAAATCTATATTTCAAATTTATTCGCTACTTTATGCTTGTTACAGGCTAGTTGATGCCTTTGAAGAGAATATAGCATCTTCAGTAGAAGAAGGAATTTCAGGGAAAATAAAAGAAGGAATAACAAAGCTTGATAATTTTTTGCAAGCTCTTCCAAAGCAAATTTCCCTTGACGAAACTGCTGCGCTAAATGTTTCTTTTGTTGGTAATCCTGTGTTGAGTAACTCTTCTGTTGCAGTTGCAATTGATGGTTTATTCACAAGAACAAGCCAAATCTTAGTTCCTCAAAGTTACAAGAAAGGATATCAAGTTTCTTCTGCCTGTGGTGGCTTACCAAAGATGATAAAGGTTTCAATACACGAAAACGTGTTCAAATCTGCTTCCCTAGTTTACTTCAACGTAAGTTTCTATATAGATAAATTGGATTCAGGCGCTTATGTTGGATCATTTTATATAGTTTGTGTTTTTTTTTGGGCTCAGGCAGGTAAAATGCAATTGATTATCGATGAACTACCCGATCAGGCTCTTCTGAACACCGCTGGATGGAGATTCATAGTTCCTCAATTATACAAGCGATATCCAAATGACAACATGCAGATTAATGTCTCTGCATCTTTTCCACCAGTCATACAAGTGGGTTACCAAGATATCGGTGCTACTGTTTCCGTAGATATAACAATTAATGTTCTAGAAGGCGGCGAGACCATACCCGTTGCATGTATCTCAGTGGTAAGCTTGCTGAAATCTTTGAGTGAAAACTAATAAGCATGTATCTCAGTTTGTGATCCATTTTTCAGGATATTAGTGCTTCATGTTCTGTGGAAATTTTAGGAAACAACATTGCTGGTAGGATTAGATTACAAAATTTTTCTGCATACTTGAAATGGAGCAAAATAGGAAAACTACGCATACATCTTATTCAGGTAAATCAGTTTGCTACCATGCATTATTTGTATTCAAAATCTATGAAACTGAACCGTTGGACCAGATTTTCTGGTCTAATATCTCACCAACAAAAAATCTTACGCTTCAACGCTGTCAATGTTTGCAGTCACTGGTATCAAGTGCACTCAAAACAGTTGTCCTACCATACTTGAACCGACAATTGAAGAGTGGATACCCGTTGCCAACTATCGATGATTATGGCTTTCAAAATTCTATTGTCTTGTACAATTATCCATGGATTTCAGTGTGTAGTGATGCTTCCTTTATAGAACAAGATTAATTATCTATGGATTTGACTGTGTTGTGCTTCCTTCATAAAACTACTCTAAAAAATTTGTACTCTTTGTGGTAAGATATCTGTAAAGTCTAAAGAAAATGAATAATGTATGTAGAATTAAGAAATCCATCTGTATATACCACTTTTGTATATAAATATTTAGGCAAAATTACATTTTAGTTATTTTCTTTAATTTTTTTTTAACAATTTATTCCTTTAAGTTATCAAACGTGTGCACTTTTTTTTTTTTTTTAACAGAATGAAGGTGTTAATTGTGGATGTAATTATTTTGAGTGGTATGAAAATGATGAAGTGCACTAAGAAATACAACAATCACAAGTTTCTAAATGTTAATAATCAGAGAAAAATGATGAGAAATCACCTTAAAAGACTAAGTTGTTACAAATTTTTTTTAAATGATCAACCTGTTACACAAAAATAATTTAAAGGACCTCCGATGTAATTTTGACAAATATTTATGACCATTATCACATTATGGTACCATGGAGATTACTTGTAAAACATTTATAACATTATTTTTTTTTAATTATCTCTTCTTCTAAAGATTTCAAGTTCGAATCCTACTATCTCTAACAATTTTTAATCTATACAAAATTTTGTCCTAATTTTAAATTAATTTACAATTTTAAATCAGATCGATTTAAATTTCAACCTTCCTATTTTTTAATAGTGTATTTTTATTTTCAAAATAAACTTTGAGGCATTGAGTTCAATCATCCCGATCATATCAATACTCCACATAGAGAAAAACCATAGAGAAGAAATAACATTGAGAAGAGTTGGAGGCACATAAATATGACATTTATGACACTTCGCAAATTTGTAGCAGTCAGATTTCATTGTCAGTTAATAGTAATTCGTCCGAAGCATCTTCTTTACCATTGAATGTCCATTGACATGAGTACCAAAAAAACCTTCATGGATCTCATGCATTAACATGTCTGCTTCGTGTCTATCCACGCATCTGAGCAAGACCATGTCATAATTTTTTTTTGTATAACACATATTCGTTGAGGAAGAAGCTATCTGTCAACCTTCTCAATGTCTTATTGTCTTTGTTTGACGCACCAAGTGGGTATTCTTGAGTCTGGAGAAAGTGTTTGATATCATAATACTAAGGTTTATCATTTGATGTCACCTCTGCCGCAAACACATGAGTTGGCCTGTCAAGATGTTGGATTGTAATCTGAGGTACATCATTTCAATAGTTCACCTTGTACATGGAGGATAAAGTGGCTAAAGCATCTGCCATCTGATTCTCATCTCGAGGAATGTGATGGAATTCAACTTTGTTGAAGAAAGTTAACAATCTTCTCGCATAATCTTTGTAGGGAATCAAGCCAGGGTGACGAGTCTCCCATTTTTCTTTAATATGATTTATAACCAAAGCTGAATCACCATACACATCAAGAATCTTGATTCCGAGATCCATGGCTTCTTCGAGACCCATAATACACGCTTCATACTCCGCCATGTTATTGGTACAATCAAACGTCAACCTTGTCGTGAAAGGGATGTGGAAACCATGGGGAGTTATAATCACAACACCAATTTCTTTACCATAAGCATTCACAGCTCCATCAAATACCATATTCCACCGGGATTCAAGATCTGGACCTTCCTCAGGCAATGGTTCATCACGATCTTTGAATTTTAGATACATCACATCCTCATCAGGGAAATCAAATTTAACTGACTGATAATCATCAACTGGATGATGGGCAAGGTACTCTGCCAACACACTATTTTTAATGGTCTTTTGAGTACGATATTCAATATCATATTCAGACAACAACATAGGCCAACGGGAAATTCTTCCAGTAAGATCATACTTTTCAAATATATACTTAGTTGGATCCATTTTGGATATCAACCAAGTAGTATGATTCAACATATATTGCCGCAGACGTTTAGCATCCCGGGCTAAAGCACAACATGTCTTTTCCAGGATAGAATACTGTGGCTCACAGTCAATGAACTTCTCGCATAAATAATATGTTGTTGTTCCAAAATACAACCCATAGGACTATTCAACACAGTTAGATACATTATCAATGGTCTTCCTTCAATAAGATGGAGCAAAATAGGAGGTTCAATCAGATACTCTTTGATGGTACCAAAAGCCTTCTCGCAGTCATCTGTCCATACACAACCATGATCTTTCTTTAGAAGCTTGAAGATTGGTTCACAAGTTGCAGTCATGTGGGAAATAAACCCGGAGATATAATTCAAACGCCCAACGAAGCCCCTAACTTGCTTCTCAGTTCTTGGTGCAGGCATCTATTGGATTGCCATAACTTTATCAGGATCAACTTCAATACCTCTCTGGCTAAAAATAAAGCCTAACAACTTTCCAGAGCGAACATCAAAAGTACATTTATTAGGATTCAAGCAGAGATGATACTTCCTCAAACGCTGAAAAAACTTTAATAAGTCTTCCAAATGACCTTCCTCAATCTGAGATTTGGCGATCATATCATCAACATATACCTTGATTTCTTTATGCATCAGATCACGAAACAGGGTTGTCATAGCCCTCTGGTACGTTGCACCAGCATTCTTCAACCCAAAGAGTATCACTCTGTAACAAAATATTCTCTAGGGTGTGATAAATATTGCTTTTTCCATGTCCTCAAGAGCCATTTTAATTTGATTATATCTGGAAAACACTTTGAATTTTTCCGTGCTATATACCAACATATCAATATGTGACAGCGGGAAATCATCTTTTGGACTAGCCTTATTCAGCTCTCTATAATCAACGCACATGCAGACTTTTCTGTCTTTCTTTGGAACTGGAACAATATTGGCAATCCACTGAGGATACACTGGCATCACAAGGAAACTGACATCAATTTGTTTCAAGACCTCCTCTTTAATCTTAACTTCCATGTCAGGGTGAGTTCTTCTCAACTTCTGCTTGATAGGTGAACATTCACGCTTCAATGGCAAGTGATGCTCCACAATATCAGTGTCCAACCCAGACATGTCTTGATAGGACCAAGCGAAGGTATCCATATAGTCTCAACAAATCAGTCAACCTGCTCTTTACATAGAGATGAAGCAGTGCCCCAATTCTGACTTCCTTCAAATCCTCTTCAGAACCCAAGTTAATCGTCTCTAACGACTCTCTGTATGGCTGGATGGTATTCTCCTCGCGCTCAAGTAACCGAGAAACCTCTTCTGGAATTTTATCAAAATCCTCTTCTTCATCCACATACATAAGATATTCAAAGTTGGGAGAGAGCACAAGGTCATTGTTTTCAATTAGTTTTTTTAATTAATATGCACATATGATTATGCTTGATTTTAAAAACAAATAAATGCAACAAGTGATTATGCAGATTTATTTACAATTTTCATTTTGAAAGGGTTTTTTATGATTAACATTTTCCAAGGAAAAGTAGAAAATAAAAACACAATTGGAAATCAAAAACAACTTTTATTAATGGTTTTAAAATTCAAAACAAAAGACAAGCTCATACAATATCAATTTCACCTTGGGCAGAGTGAAAAGATTTTGAAAAACAAGCAAAAACAAATTACTTCGATAAGTGAATGCAGTTGGGAACATCAACAGTGATCCAATTTTGGACTCTCACTCAAGGCGTCATAAAGTTCGACATTTCCTGCTCTAGTTCATCTTCAATAATAGTGTCGACCTCTGGAGAAGTTGGATGGAGATAACCCTCACTGTGGAAGATGTCTTGATATGGACATAAAGTAAACTTTGGCTTCACCACTTCATTCTTATCCTTCTTTGGAGAGAAACCCATACCTGTCCTGTTCTTGTTTTCGGGTAAATCAATAACCTGTCCCCACACACTTCTAGGACCTTTCTAAATCACCTGTTGTGCATATTTGAACGAGGTGATGTAATCTTCAATCTTCTTGATATTATCAACAAACAAAGCTTGGATTTGAATTCTAACAACAACTTCATCCACTTCTATAACACTAAAAGAAGACAAATGGGATACCAACAAAGTCTGTTCACTATTCACAATCACTACCTTTCCTTCGCAGACAAATTTCAATTCCTGATGTAAGATGGATGTAACAGTTCATGCCTCATGAATCTAGGGTCGACCTAATAAACAATTGTAGGCTGGAAAGACATCCATGACCTGAAAGGTGATATGAAACATGTGTAGACCTATGTATATTGGCAGGTCCACTTTTCCAATGACAAATTTCTTCGAACCATAGAAAGCTTTCACTATAATACCATTGTAGTGCATAGGAGTTCCTTGATAAGCGAGTTTCGACAAAGTACTCTTCGGTATCACATTTAGCGCAGAGCCATTATCTATCAGCACATTAGATAAGGCGTCATTTTTTCAGTTCAAAGATATGTGTAATGTCATATTATGATTTCTTCCCTCGTTAGGCAGTTCTTCGTCACAAAAACTCAAATTATTGCAAGCCATAATATTTCCCACAACACCATTAAATTGGTCAATCGAGACATCCTGCTCAACGAAAGCTTAGTCCAAGACCCCCATCATGGATTCCCGATGAGCTGTAAAATTCATCAACAAAGCTAGAAAATAAATTTTAGATGGAGTTTGCAACAAGTGATCAACAATTTTATAGTCACTCATCTTGATGATTTTCAGAAGATCATCAACATCTTTTTCTAAAGTAGCACCACTAGTTCGCCCTTTTACCTTGGTTTCAACACTAGTTTCAACAATCTTCTTACCAGAATCAAGACTCTTTTGAAAATTCAGAGCAAATATACGACCACTACGAGTCACATGACTAGCTTTAACAATATTTTCAACACAAGACAAAGGCTGAATTGGAACTTCTTTTACATCTTCCAAAATAGTTGCATGATATTTGTAGGGGACAACCTTATCAGACTCATATGGAACCAGACCAGGCAAACAGATAACCAGGGGAGTTACAACAGGCTTACCACAATATGCAATTTCCACAGAGGTGGGAATGTCAAAGTGTGGGACTATAAGATTCAC